GTGGAGATGAAGGGAAGTGGAGAGGGGGGGGGAGAGAGGAGGTGGAGGAGGAGGAGGGGGGGAGGAGAGGAGGTGGAGGAGGCGGAGGAAGAGGTGGAGATGGAGCGAAAGGAGAGGCGGTAGAAGAAGAGGAGGTGAGAGATGGAGGTAAGAAGGAGATGAAGGAGTGGAGGAGGAGGGGGGGGGGGAGAGGAAGAGAGCCGGGGAGGGAGGTGGAGATGCAGAAGTAAAGGAGTGGAGACGAGGGAAGTGGAAAAGGAGGAGGGGAAGAGGAGGTGGTGGTGGAGGTGGAAAGGTGGAGATTAGAGCAGTAAAGTAGTGGAGATGAGGAAGTGAGGAAGAGGTGGGATAGAGCGAAAGGAGAGGGGAGGGAGAGGAGGTGGAGATGGAGAAGTAAAGGAGTGGGAGATGAGGAAGTGGAGGAGGAGGGGGGGGAGAGGAGGAGGAGGAAGAGGAAGAGGTGGAGATGGAGAAGTAAAAGAGTGGGAAATGAGGGAAGTGGATGGGGGGGAAAGGAGAGGTTGGAAAACGAGGAAGAGGTGGAGATGGAGAAGTAAAGGAGTGGAGATGAGGGAAGTGGAGGAGGGGGGAGAGGAGGAGGAAGAGAGATGGAGAAGTAAAGGCCGGGAAAGGAGGAGGGCGAGAGGCGGGGAGAAGAGGTGGAGATGGGAGAAGTAAAAGGAGTGAAGATGAGGGAAGTGGAGGAGGAGGGGAAGAAAGGAGAGCCGGAGGAGGAAGAGGTGGAGATGGAGAAGTTAAGGAGTGGAGATGAGGGAAGTGGAGGAGGAGGGGGGAAAGAAGAGGCGGAAGAAGAGAGGTGGAGATGGAGATGGAGAAGTAAAGGAAGTGGGGATGAGGGAAGTGGATGAGCGAGGGGGGAAAGGAGAGGCGGAAGAAGAGGAGGTGGAGATGGAGAAGTAAAGGAGTGGAGATGAGGGAAGTGGATGAGCGAGGGGAGAAAGGAGAGGCGGAGGAGGACGAGGAAATAGCGGAAGAGGTAAGAGAGAGGAGATGGTGGAAAAATGGTTGAAAAGAGGAAAGATGAGGCGGAGGCAGAGTTGCTAGTAGTTGGTGAAGGCGAGGAGGAGGAGGTGGAGGAGGAGGTGGAGGAGGAGACGGAGACGGCGGAAAATGTTCAAGAGGGAGGAGGAGGTGAGGGAGGTGATGATGGGGCAAATAAAAGAATAGTGATAATAGAAGTAGTTGAAGAGGAGGCGGAGATGGAGGTGGAGGCAGAATAGTGGATATGGTGGAAAGGGGTTGAGGAGATGGAAGATGAGGTTGAGGAAGAGTTGTTGGTGGTTGATGAAAGGGTAGATGAGGTGGAGGAGGTGGAGGAGTGAGGGTGGGGGAAAGGTTCAGGAGAGGAAAGAGGGAAGTGGGAAAAATTGATGACGTTGGAATTAAAAGAGATAAGATGATGGAAATCATT